TTACAATTATTTTAACCGATTTAACCAATGTATTTACAATCATATAGGAGCTTAACCGAGCTTAGAACTCAGATGAGGAAACGGCAATTGTAGTAACAGAAAACAAAATCAATACCAGGTGAAACAACATTTACAATGAGCATAGCGTTTGACACGTATTGTCAAAATATTGAAATACTCTTTTAAAGAACGCTAATGAACGATTCAGTTGAGATTGTCATATTCGTAAGCTAGTAGATAGCGATGAGCATCAATAACACACTAACATAGCAAGAACAAGTTTGATGTACATATACTCCAGAAAATGTATAACCAGAACTGTTATCTAAGTTATCACAGGTGTTTCATATGAGGACCAATTGAATCAGATGATGGAATAATTAAGCATTAGATGTTTTTTTTTGATTATATGGAATTCTCTTGTTATGATGACCCCACTCCTACAATTGATCATTTTGTATGAAAAAAATACATAAACTAATAAGAGCAGATATGGGTAATCTTGCTGAAGGATTATTGCATAGATTAATTTAATGTAAACATATCAACAGGTGCAAATGCTAACTTTCACAACTTGCAACTATATTCCGTTTCCTACTTGCTTGGCTTCCCATGTACAAGATGTACACGTACATATTTAAGATAATTTATTACATCAACTCAAATTCATTTAAGTAAAACAAATGTCATTACTTGATATAAAGGGGTGATCACAAAAGTACAACAACTGGAGTGCGAAGTATAGGAAATAGTGGCACAGCACATGTATATAGATATTATATATAATTATATATATAATTTTTCATAAAATGTTGAACAATGTCTTTGTCTCATGTCTTGTCAATTATTCTACAAGTATGGTAAGATATCACTTGAACTTACTCATTTCTTACAACAAACATTGTCTGGAGTGTTTCAAATATTGGTGATTATTTGCCAGACAATTTATGTTCATGTAATTTAGCAGGTCTAACCCAATATACTTAAATAGATAAAAATCACTAACATCACCAGTGATCTGCAATCAATGCTTAATACATTTTTGTATCAAGAGATAAAAAACTAAACTGCGTATCAACTGATCGAATTAAGTCAAATAAAGTTAATGATGTTGTAAACTGAAATATTCGCTTTTGTTTCTTTTTGAATATTAACGCATCTCTCGCCAAACAAGTAATGACTACGTGACGTGAGTCAGTCTGACATAGCACAATCAGAACGTAAATTCACTCTTTAGATTCCAATTTTAATTTTAGACAAATGCTACATATCAGTTTTGTCACTCGATATCTCTGTGTTTAGAATGATTGTCTCTGGTCATATGCCCAACAATTGGATTCTACGTATTGACTCGTTAGCAATATCGTGACATTACAGTGTCTCTAATTTAGCATTCAAATACAATTATATTTATTATTTTTATCATGTTCTATGTATGTATGTCGTACTCTAATACGTAAGTGTTAAACGTTGAAGTAGTAAGCAACAGTGATTGTAACTGTAGATACAATTTTAAAGCTATGATACTCCAAATTATGGTACAGATCATATGAAAACTGCATAAACGAGAAAGTGAAGGGCGTACTAAAATATTGCTAGTGTGAGTGCATATGAAATGCACAGCCCCAGGAACGTCTGGCCACGGAGTGTAAGGTATTTTCTATTTGACTATTAAGCAGATTTACCTGGCTAGAATAAAAACCGTCAAATGTACTTTCTATTGTCACACTCTAACTGGATTGTAGAGATTTATAGAAAGGTAATATACTGTAATCTTTGAAAGAATTGTACGAACAGGAGGGCACATTAACATAATGTAATATAATACAGTCCTGCATGCCATGAACACACAATGTCGCAACGACTACCGAACATCTGCTCAATCTACTCAATTTGAACTACCAGAAAAAATATACAAAATAGTAACATATTCACAAATACCTGATTGAAATGAACACTGAGATGACAATGACTGCTTTCTGATGTTGATAACTTCAGTAGATAACAACGATGTGTCGATCTGTGACAACACGCAATATATTACCAACATAATGACGTGTTTTTTTTCAGGGACCAATAAAGAAATGCTCATCTGTTTTTCTCCTATGAATAATAATTTCCTTTGGGAGAATACAAAATGACGTCATAATTCCATATGGCAGCGAATATTTGCTGGTTAAGTGTGAATCAGTGATAATTTCAGAATTCATAGTCAGTGTTAGTTTACCATCAATTCTCCTTATCTTTCTCCATATTAATTGTAATGACACGTAAGATGAATCAATAAAACACATGCATTCAATGTTAATTACATGTGAAAATAATTTACATAGATAAGTTTGGTATTAATGAACAATGCAATGACTAATAATAACAATAACTGCTTGTATTATTGATCTTATCAGTATTTATTTCCAGTGAAATCATTTTGAGACCAGATTAATGTATTTAAGTTTGTTTTTTCTTAGATAGTTGAATAAATATTATAGTAAATGAAGTGTTGATAGTTTTACCTGATGGACAACTATTTCATTGTAAATCCTTTAAATTACGGAACATATAGCAGTTACTGGTGCATCTGATGCACAATGTAAAACGAACATGGGGTGTAGTTCATCAATTTGTCACCAGTTGTTGTAAATTTTTCAATTTTCCAATGATATTAGGCCGAATGTGTAGTATTTAGGTAAAACAGTGCTAGCATAGAAACAGCTGGTTTGCTTATTGACAAAGTCTAACAATGATTAGTTTTGTTATACAGATTTTTGCCTTGGTTGTAGATGCTCAAGACTGATTACAGATATATGTATGTATATAATGGTACACTCTGAAATGTTATGTGTTATTTAGGTTGTGATGCCCCTTTCGATGTTTGTATCTGTACTTTGATAAAAAGGAGATTCTCAATTTCTCTAAATTGTACGCGATCAGTATTTAATTTATTTATCAGCAATTAAAACTAAAATTTGTTTCTTAGTGGGCGAGAATTATTAGTTGCCCGTCTACAAAATTCAAAAGAAGCATGATTGTGATTCCTTATTAGCAGCATTAACATCATAGAGTTTACAAAAGTGTAATATAGTAAGTTTGTGAACAGAACAAATATTGTCTAAATTTAAACTATGAATTGGTAAATGTATTTCCTGAGATAAACATCAAAACAGGACTATAAAAGTTATAGCCGAGAAAAATGTAATAAACATAATTTTGATGTACGTTCACAATAATCTGAAGATATTTTACACAAAATTATTTTCAAGATCGTGCGTTACCACAAATTTAATTGAAATGTACAAAAAATATAAAAAAAATACCACACCAATGCATTTTATTTGTATTATTAGTGAACATCCCCAATGGAAATAAACATCAACCAAAAATCGTTTGCGTTGTATACTAAATCTTTAACGTTTAATTTTTTTCGGTAATATACATAATCACATGCATGACCAACTGAACAAATATGGCACAAATTGTATATCTAACAATTGTCTACATGTGTACAGATTTGATGGAATGTGTTTAAATGACAACAGTTTTGGGCATAATTAAGTTAAATTATAAAAAATATTGTCAACAATAAATAGATTCCACATGGTTGTATACAATATTACAATTGTCTTTTAATTTAAAGTTGAAATGGTCAAAAGTCAGCTTGTTAATTAATGCGTTGATACTATATTTTGAAGCTGAAAAAAAACATTCTGATTCACCTTAATAATGTTACTCAAATGTTCTTCGCATGTTAAGCCCAACTTGGCTCAAAAAATAAATAACAACGACATATGTATAACCATATTATAGGTTCGTTGTAACATGTATGCTATACACTAATTTAGAAAGAGATTGCCGGAAG